GTCTGTCTGTCTGTCTGTCTGTGTTTGTCTGTCTGTTTGCCCGTCTGTTTACCTGTCTAGTCTGTCTGTAGAGCGGTTGAGGAGGTAGCTCCATTAGGAGGTTTGACTTAATAGCTTTGAGCTAAGGTCACTCAATATGGGTCGCACTTACTCACTATCATCACCCCATAACCTCACAGGTAATTCTTTGTTTCAATAATAGTTTAATTAGCATAAACACTTCAGTCTCCGATAGAGCTACAAAAAGATCAAATCTGAACATCGAAGGGTGTGACAATCTAAATTGAATTCTGTATATTATATTACCGGTACTCTAGACTGGACAAATATTTATCAACTACCGGGTCGAGTCACTATTGACACCAGAAATTGTAGCATAAGTATACGTCGCAGCTAAGTCTGGTTTTCACTGACGACACAATTGCAAGTACAAGGTGTCTATGCCACGTGATAACGAACGTCGACATAAGCAGAAGCACAAGCATGAGAACACGATGTTTACTGGTTACAAGGCTCCGTTCTCGCCTCGACCAATGTGGCGGCAGAAATTCTCAAGCGTCGCGTGTTCCTTCTACCCTTGCGACGAAAGAAAGCGAAAGCCACTTCAAAACAAGGTGGAAGACAAAACGCTTTAGGATAATGGACATTTTTAAAGAAAGGAGATCAGAAGCATTTTTAGAACCTCGCGGAGGAGCTGAGTTTGAGATGGTGAATTTTACTAGCTTAATTCACACTTGGGCCTTTTCATTTCCGTCTTTAAATTTCCTACTCTTTTTGTCGTACAACATCCTATAGTTCCGAACAATCCGAGATCGCAAACTTTTCACCAAAATCAACAAAGCGCACGGAAATTTTGTTCAAATGTTCAGACGCGGGGCAATCTTGAACGAGTGCTTTAATTGGCCAGATATAGTAAATTCCCCAGTGCTCGGCTTGTGCGGTGTTTCGTTTTCACACGGCATATAAAAGTGAATGCAAGCACAAGCCAAAGCATAGGAAAAGGAAAAATTTTGATCCTTACGCTTGTGCTTGCGCTTATGCTTGCGTCGAGGTCGTTTTCACGGTGAAATAAGAACTGATAAGCTTCCACGAGGGTTAAACATCCCGCTATTGTTCTTCTGGCCCCAGTTGTCCAAAGGGCGGATAACGTTATCCACCGGATAAATCACTATCCAGTGGATAGTGTAGAATGTCTTAGTAACACTCAACCATTGGATAGCTATTTATCCGGTGGATAGCGTTATCCACCCTTTGAACAACAGGGGCCAGGGGCCCGTTTCTCGAAAGCCCTGGAAACTTTTCAGGCCCGTAAAGCCATTTTTAGTTCATCTGTATCTAAAAACGGAGAAGTGTATACGCCTGAAACTTCTTGTATGAAGAGAACCTCTGTTCATGTTTAGAATACGTGAATAAAACAGCTCTGTAATCATAAGCTTCGAGATTTTGCTATGGCTTTCCGGATGCGAAAACTTTTCGGGACCTTCGAGAAACTGGCCCCAGGTGTTTAAAACTATCAATCCTTTGTTGATTCCAGTTTTTGATGGCTAAACGAATTTCTCTCTCTTTCTCTCTCCTCCACTCAAGTTGGTTCCCTCGTGGCTTCTTATCATCTTCGGTATTCCTCTGGCTGATAAATCTGCGGAGCCGGAGGGCCTTGAAAAATGAATCTCTTTCAAGAGATTTAGCCCCTTCATTGTTGACTGCTCGCATAGATAAACACGAGGAAAGACATCCGTGATGTTTTGCTGTATCTTTACCTTTCTTTACATACAAAGGGCCAAAGAAATTTATACCAACGTAGGAAAATGGTGGTTTGCCAGGAATCAACCGGTCCCTGGGTAGATTTGCCATTACTCGCTGGCCTCGTAAGGCGTTCTATATTCACCATAAAAACCTTAAGGCATTAGAAGCCTTGAGATCGACGTTTATTTGATGGAACCTGCTTCGATGTCTGAAGGCAGAGCAATTGGTTCTTGACGAAATCTAACTTGGACACCGCAAACAAGCTGTTGGTTAAATCTGGACCATTTAGCTATAGTACATGTAGCTGGACGTCGTTAAGCGGTGTTGCTTGGTATCGTGCTGCACAGTACACCAAATACCACTCCCCATTTCTCTGGTTTGTGAGGATGAGAGATTTATAATACCTAAGCTCTACCTTAGGTATTCGTTGAGCATAGCCCTTTTTAATGTAGTCTTTCATAGTTCAATTGTGTCTTGCAAAGAGCTCTTGTTGGCAAAAAAATTCTTCTTTAGCAAACACATTTACATTCTCACAGGGCCAGCAATTCTCAAACACACGTGTAGGCGTTGGCTTCTTCTGTCGTTGGTTGGGCTGAATTAAAAGTAGCTGTCTTCTGACAAATGAATTTTATCGGGTGATTTCGTCGGTCGTTCTCCAACAGTAGATGGATCCTTTTGAACGTTTGCGGACTTGGAAGACACCGCAGTCTGAACTTAATCCTTCTGAATTTGAACGCTTTCTGTGTCATCTACAGCTATAGGTGGAGCTCTTTCAATGAAAATTCACCGCATCCAACAGCTCGTGTTATGGAAGCAAGGTATCGCATTTTCCTGTAACTCCAGTCGTTCCGTGAGCTGCTTCAACCGTAACTCTGCAACCGCTTTCTCGACCCTAGCTTCCTTTAACACTTAAGCGGAACTTGTTTTTAAACCCGAACGCCGACTATTCCTCGCAGTGAAAGAGCACTTGGCTGTTGAATTATCGAATCACATGGGTGAGTGTCGTCCGGGCAATAGTAGAGTTGTATATTAAGCTAAGCGCTTTCAATCCATTTATTAACACGCTGATGAAATCAGAACTTCTCATGAAACCGACTTTTGATTCCAGAGTCGCTGATTTACTTTCCTCCAGATCATGTATAGGCTTTGCGCATGCGAATGCTGCATAGATAACTTTAAGCTTTTTATTGACGAGTATCGTGTTCTGTTTGTTTAACAAGTCAGTAAGACCTCCGCTTTATTGTAAAGTATCCTTGTTCCTTGATAACCAGCATAAGATCGTTTTAAAACTGTTTGTTTTTCGTTGGCTATGTATCAGGACGTCCCCACGAGCACTGGGCACCGCATTACCCCTTTTGCAACAGTTGGCCACGAGACGGGCTTTGCAGGAACACACTGATTTAGTCATTGGTAATTCATAATGTTATCAGAAATGGAAAGAACATGGAAATATCCTTTAAGAGGGAATTTTTATGGACGTTACTCCTTTAGGGCATTATGTAATAACTGTATCACCCAACTAGTGGATTAATGCAAATCCTGCATTTTAATTGGCTGCGATTCTAAAGGACTATTTAGTAATAGTCCTCGAGTAGCGAAATTGGCGCAATCGAGCGTGACGCTTGCTTTCGTTTCATTCCCAAATATTTCTTCAACTTGCATTTGCTAACTTTATTATTACCTTTTCTGTCCGACTAAGTGAGTGATACTAAAACAATTAGACCTTTCGCCCTCAGGGGCCACGGGTCAATAGCCCATTCGGCTTAGCCTCATGGGCTATTGACACGTACCTCTTGCGGGCTACGGGTCTAATTGTTAATTATTATATGGCTGTGTCTCACAAGGACTGGGAACTACCGAATTCACCAATTTGATTGGCTGAGATCGATATTGACCGCGGTCTAGATTTTCCCATCGAGACCGGCACCTCGACCGATTACATTTTGCCGTAAAAAACTATTTTCTTCCAAAATATTAGTTCCAGAAAATATCTATATTATGGAAGTGTGAAGCCTGATGAGGAAAAAAAGTAAAGAGCACGAGTTTGGCAGAATTAAGTTCAGCTCATCGCAGTTCGTAAGCAAAATGTCAGCTAGTACAAACCAGTTACATTAAACAAATTAATTTTTTCTTGTCTGCCATATAATAAACATCTTATTAACCGAGCTTAGTCGATCTGTAAGTGAGAATCTTGACCTCGGTCGTGTGTACAGACCTCACTGCGTTCGGTRTATACTCCCGACCTCGGTCAAGATTCTCCCATGCAGACCTCCTGCTCGGTTAATAAGAGCTAATTGTTATATGGCTTGCTCGCTGAGCGGGCAAGATGAACCAAATTATGCGATGTGATTGGCTACCCGAGCGGGCAAGACGTCGCTATATTGCCCGCTCGGAATTACGCGCTTTTTTTGTCCCGCACGAAAATTTAGAATATTACGTAAATGAATTTAGTTCCTTCTTCGTTGTGCATGCATTTTTGTGCAGATCACGAAGAAACTCTTAAGCATCTTTTAATTAACTGTGCCTATTCCAAACATTTTTGGCTTTCTGTCATTTCCTGGTTAAGTATTTGATTGACAAGCTTGATGAAATAACCATCCTTACTTTTTGGTAACTATATTTGAGAATAATTATTTGCTAAATCACACAATCATTCTAGGAAAATATACCATTTATATAGGCCGGAGTAAAAATATCAAGCCATCTTTATATTTATTGAAGGTCAAAACAAAAGAACCTCCGGTCGAAAACTAGTCAGAATTTCAATTGCAAAAAAAGGAACAAGAAGGAATCTGTTCATTAAGAAAAATGGCAAAATATGTAAGTTGTAAATAGTAAAAATCAGAGGTCAATATTAGTACTCTTGGAATCAATCATGCCTTCTGAGATTAATTTTTAATCGTATATATCTAGCTGACTGTGTTATGTACATGAGATTTCATAATTAACGTTACTTTTTAGTGTTAGTGGGGTCAAAGGCTGGTAAAAGGTCCCGGTGAGAGCTACTGTTGCCACTAGGTAGCTCTCGTAAGTGCCG